GTGCGCCTTTAAAAGACGCACGGAGTCAGTGCGTTGTGCGCTCGTTGGCAGTACCGGGCACGCACGTCACACGCACTGGGGTGAATCGGTAGCCCGAACGCAGCCCGAACGCAGCGAAAGTTCCACATGCACTAAAAGTGCTACGGTGTGTCTGCGTGCTCCCAAATCCGTACGGAGGCGGTACTCATCACGTACGGATACCCAAAGTTTGCCCACGTTTTTGCACGTAGACAGCACGCACTTGCAAGTACGGCGGGATGTGACCACCGCATTACACATCCCAAACACCATGTTAAAAAATCATTGATTTTTTGGACTACCATTTACACCACTGGAACAACCCATAAAAACGTCAAAGTTTGCTTTTACCTGTTTTCGTTGACTAGTGCGCGTGCGCAACTTGTCTGTGCCCAGCGTGCGGGAAGCACGAAAAACAAGGAGAGTCACGTGAGTCACGTGAGCCAAAAATCAGTGTCTTAACTACCGAAGTTTGCATTTATGCTTCAAAAATTGGTGAGACTTTGGAAGGCGTTAACAAAAAAACACAATCCAGAGGTGGATTTTACGAATTTGATTTTTGTTGTCGTGTTTGTCAGTAGTTGCCGGCAAAACACGCAATGTGAGAAAAATCAATGATTTTTAGTAGCAGTGTAAATGCAGCTATATTCTCCAAAAAGAACTGAGGCAAAAGACAGTTGTTTGTTGCACTCAGCAGTCAGCACATTGGTGTCATGTTATCAACCATGTTTGCTTACCGGTACTGAAACATTATCTTTGCATTTGAAAAAGTATGTTTAGAAATGCTGCTCAGACTATCAAAATATTGAATTTCTATTTTTTTAAATGATATGATATGACATTAAACAAAAAATGCATCTGGCCTTAATGTTCTTTTTTTGTCTCTAATTGAATTTAGATTATTTTTATGGATGACGAAGGGCAATTTTTGCGCATCTTTTCCCATTTTACTTTTTAAGTGTTAAAAGGAGACCCAGTATAGTTGGAGGCATAATGAATAATTGATGTACATTTATAATCAGTAGACAAGTTTGGATCCTGCTCCAATTTCATGAGCCAGCAGCCATGCATGACATTTGAGGGATGATGTTTATACATGTTGTGGTATCAGTTACCGACCCTCGTAATTAGAGGTGAACAAGTCATTGATTGTATGAAACATATTTGTAACTTGAGTTCTTGCTAACTGATCAAATTTATTAAAAAAAAGTTATATAATTGATGCTTGTCTCATAATTATTTGGTAACCGAATGCCACCCTCCTGTTCTCTTTCAATCCTTGCTTTGTTCCAAATTTAACTTTGTAGACAAGAGTTTTTTAAACACATTTTATGACCTTCTTACAAATTGAAAAAGAAAGAAGTGCTTTCCTTTATCCATTAATTTTCATTTTTTCATTTTTTTACATTCCTGGCACTGGAATGGTTAAATATCTTGGCTGTTAAGATGATCAGTTACTGCTTCAAACAACATTTGAAGTAGACCATCAATAGCTGAAATGCAGTATGTTACCATTATCACAGAGCAAAAAGCTATTTCTTGTATTCACCATACCAGTGGTGTTTTTTTTGCCATCCAATTGCCACCCCCTCCCCCAGTAGCTAAACCACTGCACCATGCCAAAAGCAATAATAAGAGACACATTTTCTATGCATACAAAATATAAATCTCTTGTACAGCAAATCAATTCTATTGCCCTTTTACCAGGCACCAACAGCTATGATGCAGTGTAATTCTACATGCAAGAACATTCAATCAATCAAGCATATTGGCACTGAATTACATGTCTAACAAGCTTGATTATTAAAGACAGAACTGGTTCGAAAGCAAGAGACAGAAAGCTATCGTTTGGTCACATTTCCTATGCATACAAAGTATAAATCATCTCTTGTACAGTTAATTGATTCCATTGCCATTTTACCAGGCACCAACAATTAGAATGCAGTGTAAATCTACATGCAAGAACATAGAACATTCAATCAATCAATATTGGCACTGAATTACATGTCTAACAAGCTTGATTATTAAAGACAGAACTGGTTCGAAAGCAAGAGACGAAAAGCTGTCATTTGGTCACAAGCCAACATGTAGTTTATAGAGTTTAGAAGACTTTCAGTGTCAAGGAAGAACAAAATTACTATTTTTTTTCCTTCATTGACTTGTAAAACACAGATTCTCTCTGTTTTTTCTCCCAGGGTTCTACTGAGCTTTCAGGAAACTCACACTAAGATAACTCTCAAATTACACTACCTTCATTTCCTTAGATTTATTTTATGACAAATCATGACACAGACATTGGTATAGTATGGAATAAATAGCTGCATTCACACTGCAAAAATCATTAATTTTTATTAAATGCTGGTGTTTCTTCTATGCAAAGTACTGGCAAACAGGACGAAAAACCAAAATGAAAAATTCCACCTCTGGTGTGTGCCTGCCAAAATGTCACTGATATGTATAGTGTAAATGCAAACTTCAGTACTATTCCTCGCTTCCATGTGAACGCATGCAGGACAGCGACAAGTGGCATATGCGCACTACTCACCAAAAGTCGGAACGAGCAATTACTAATGGTTTTTACAAGTGGCGCATGAGCATGTCTACTCGCCCAGAAATTGGAAAAAGCAAACACACATTTTTCTGGGTTTTTCGACTAGTGTAAATGGCAGTCCCCCAAAACACCTATTTTTCAAAACATAGATCGGGACGTGTGAACGGGCCTAATGATTCTTTCTCACTACTTTTGCTTTAATAACAGGTCATAAATTATGGGATGAGCTCCCTTCATAACCAATTTCTAAAGAAATCCTTCATTCAGTGTTTAAGCTGGTGCAATATTTCACTCTGTATTCAACGAAACCATAGTAAGTTTTGATAAGATGGTTTTTATGATATAATCCTTTGAGAATACCAATTGTCACCTCATGTATTGAAACCAAGCAGAAGATTGATCACAAAAGTTCACCTCTAAGAGGAAGACCATCGAAACCAAATATTTCATCAGCCCAGCTCTGATTACATGTTAAGATCTTGAAGAAAGGAAGGCTAATCTTTGTGATACCAGTTGATCTGGTGTGGTAGGCTAGATATCCGGCTATGTTTGTGACATCCTACAATGTCTCTTTAAAAATCATTGTTTGTTGGAAGAACTCAGAGGAAATGGGTTCAAGGAAAGGAGAATCCGGTTTGCTGTTTTCAAACAATTCAAAATTATTTAATTGCCAAGTTTGTATGAAATTTATAAAATTCATTTTTGGAATGAAAATATAAGAATATTTTTTTATAATAAAAGAAGGAGAAAATATTTTAGTGAACATTGATTTCTCTGACAAAGCAAACAAGGCAAAATTTATCAAAAAGATTCTTAGATGATACGTAGAGGGATAATATGATACAACTAATATTGGTCATATATGCATAAATGATATATTGAGATTTGTAGAATCTTTCGTTAAGTGAAGTACAGTAGCTTGTTTTAATCTACAATAGTCTGAGATTTAATGAGATCTAAATAATATATTCTGTGGGGGACATCCAAAATATGAAATATTTGTTTTCATGATTCCTCTCAAAATATATGTTTCATAAGAATGATCTGTCATTCATTGTATGATAGCACCTGCAGAGGAAACACATGGTCTAATGCTTTCCTCAGAAATATGCTATTGTTATTTGAGCATATTCGTGATGAGCAGGAGCATGGTCTGTTGTGCAAGCTAGGAACGACTGTTTGAGCAATCTACATGTGACTGACTGGAGCTGTTTACTCCATACCGATAATGATAAGATACAAAAAGGTGAAGTTTGCATGGCACCCCCAGATTCCGAGGCGTGTTAAAATGAGTAAAGATGTGAAAGCCAGGGCATCTGGGATATCGCTTCCTGTGAACGGAGCCTGATGAGTTCAAGGCCATTTGAAGCTTTCTGCTGACAGGGATAAAAGATACGAAGGTTAAGAGAATGTTCTTGAAGATGAATCAGGAATCTACGCATCTATAGAGACAATGGGGAATACGTCTTCAAGAATAGAAGACAGAGAGAGAGAATGAGAATGTTCTTGACAACGAGTCGGAATCTATGCACAGAGACATTGGGAAATATATCTTCGAGAATGGTAGAAGACGACAGAAAGAGAGAGAGAGGCAGACAGACAGACAGACAGGCAGTTATACAGACAGAGAAAGAGAGAGAAAGAGGTGGGGGGGGGGGGAGACAGTCTGACTTTACCAAGGAAATCTAATAATAAGGTGATAATGTGATGGAACTGTTAAGTGGAGGAGGAATGTTTTGTCTGCTGAGAGCCTTGAGGAAGTCAACTCATACACTTTAAAGGCATCATTTAAATTTGAGATGCATGGCCTAACGTGTCATCAGTGTCTGTGATATGGTGTATAGTTGAAGCCCAAAAAAAATTGTGCTTCAAAATGATCATGAAATGCCTCAAAAAAGTCAAAATCCGGATTTACCATGCTCATTTTCCCCAATAGACTGTAGTGTTATAAAAACCGTTAGGAAAACGAAAAATGAAATTTGGATTTCCAATCATAAATATTTTGATAATCAGACAGGTGTTCGGCTTGTAAAAGTCATGGGGTTCCTGAGTGACCTTAAGGTTTACAATTATCATTGCAGCATGAACTAAATCCAGGATTTCGTTTCAGAATCTGAGACAAAGTTACCCAATCCCTTTAGCATAGAGTTGGTACTCTCTTGGATCTCGAAAGATGATCTGTTGGTTTGTTCTTTTGGGGGGGTTTCTGTCCCAATTATCCTCTAAAACCTCTCCCTGACACCATTGAAGTTTTACATGTGCATGTGCCATAGTCTAATTGTTAAAACTTACTTTGGGTATAAGGGTTCAAAAATTTGTTTGTACTGAAAGAAATTAAACATTTAAACATCAGTAGCAATGGTGTATTCTGTATTGAAATGTACACCATTTACTCATAACATTTATTTTTTTCTCTTGTTCACTTATACAGGTCTGAAGAACTGGAATATTGATGGAGATTTAATAGACTACAATGACGTCCTCAAATCTGTAGCAGAGGCTAATCCAGTCAAGACTGGGCTAGGTTTGTACCTTATTATTTTGTTGTCATACACGGCAGAGTTCTAATAAGAAGAATATTAGGGAGTGGGGAGGTTTTAATTCGGGAAAGAGCCGAAACCTCATGAAGCATGTAGAGCTCTCTCGAGAATGATATACTGAATTTCTGATGAAACCTCAATTTTCCTATACAAAAATTAATTAAAAAAGGGCCATTCTGAATAAAAAGTATTAACATATTATATACCTGATTCATCTTGTGTGATGATCCTTACAAGTTTAGAAAGTTTTGTGAGTAATATCTTACTATCTACTTAAGATAGTAGTGTGTGACCTTTATACCCAGCAACCCCTCTAATTTGCATCATCCCAAGATATCTTGGGCTAGTTTGCAAAATATCCTGCCATTTGTCTGGTGCGTCTTAACCAGCCCGAAGACTCGCACTATGCACGAACGCTGAGCAAAATATCTCGAGCTTATTTCTCTAGCTCGAGTTTCAAGTCTCAAGCTGAAGAAGACGCAATTGTAACTTCTGGCTTATTTCCCAAATCAGAAATAGCGGGTTATTTGGCAATTTCGATCTGATGAGGACAGGCCTTGTGTGATCTCCTAGGATGCATTTAGAGAGCCCCCTTGCCATTCAATCTACAGAACAGAGCAGTAGCCTGTCACATGAATAGATGTCACTTATAATGAGGTTAAAGGTCATTGAATCCGATGAAGATTCCATGTTGTCTGTGTGTGTGTGTGTGTGTAACCGACTGGTTTCCTGATGGATAACCTATGAAGAGCTAACCAGAGAAAGGTCACATTCTAACCCTGAGATACTCCTTCCGTCATCTGTTGAGAGCCAGAAGGTCGTTTAACTGTTCATTTTATCTACAAAGAACACCTCACCCTAGGCAGAAGACATGTTATGTGCCATTAGAGGGGTGGTTACAGGCGACGTGTGGGAGGGGGAGGGGTATAGGGGATAGGGGAGGGGTTATAAGGGATAGGGCAGAATGATTTTGAAATGAGATGTGCCACTCATGAGACATTTCAGAAAGTAATTCATGAAAATCTGCCAAAGTTAGTGATTGAAGCAGAACTCCAAAGTTGAAAAAGTTAGCAGGAGTTAACACCACAATTGCAGAGTAATTAGCCCTGCTATTTTGCAGGGTTAGTTAACCCCGTACTATAGGTGGGGTTAGCCAACTTTAGCCCACTTTGGTAAATGCCAGTCTGAACAGAAAGTGGAATAGGCTTAACCCCGTACTATAGGTGGGGCTAAGACCCCCCCCCCCCCTTTACCCCACCTATAGTATGGGGTTAAGCAAAATATTGCCAGTGTGAAAACAGTATTAGTTGCAGTGCACATGATCAAAACAAAAGAAAAACAGCCATGGCATTCTGAACATGTGACATCTGTCAAAGCTAATTTACATTTACATGGAATACTTTCCATATCATATATCAGTCACATGTAGAGAGATAATTCATTTTTTACCACATTTATCTCTACCAGTAATTGCTTTTTGAAAGCTTTGTCTTTGCAATCTACCAATGAATAAAACCGACATTCCCTGCATTGAAGCATGCAGTGCTCAATTTTTACGCATTTATGATTTTATCACTAAACCAGTGTTGTGTGAAAATGAATCCCAAATTGATTTTCAGCGTAAACAAACACTACCGGGTGTTCTGGCATACAACAACTGTTGCATGAATCATCCTTTCAGGTGAATTCTTGTGTGTGGGGGATGAATTTTGAAAAATAAAAAGGGAGTTCCTAGGAAAGTAGGGCATAAACATCCTGTTATTTGAATGTAGGCCTAGAAGGCCAACGTGGGTACATACACGAATCCATAGCATATACTGTCACTCTGTGTGTGTGTGTGTGTGATAATACTCTGTCTATTATAGTCGGTACTGTACATTCACATAATATTGTCTCAAATTAAAAGTATGAAATAAAAATAGATAAATGTGGAATGCCTGATTTAGTAGGATAGATGTCAATAATAAATACAACCATGACTTGAAAAGTTGAAATAGTTGACCGAAATGCAAGTGTTGTATGTCAACGGAATAATGTAACATATGCTTCCAATTTGAATGAGATGTGTGCATGAATAGTAACATTTCCTTGATTTTCTGACTTAGATCTCGATTTATGCTATTTAAATTCAGAAACTAAGAACATGATCACAGTATCTCTACAGTGTAGTGTAGCCTCCCTTTTTGTCCATAATATGTTCTTATAGCTTCAATAGCTTGTATTCATAACGCTTTATCCATCTGTCGCTTTTCCCTTCTTTCTCTTTCTGTTTCTCTTTCTCATGTCTTTCCCACTAAGCATGCACTCTAATACCTCTTTCCCTCTCTCTCGTTCTCCTTACCACTCTCTCCATTGCAATTTTTGTTTCTCTATGGATCTCTCCTTTTCTCTATCCTTGTCACTCCTTACGCCCCTCTGCATACATTCTCTCCCTCTCTCTTTCTCTCTCTCTCTCTCTCTCTCTCTCTTCCCCTCTCTCTCCCCTCTCTCTCTCTCTCTCTCTTTCTACGTCCCCCTCCCTCCCTCTCTCCCTCCCTCCCTCCCATCTCTCCCTCCCTCCCTCCCATCTCTCCCTCTCTTTCTCCTCTCTCTCCCCCTCTCTCCCTCTCTCTCCCTCTCTCCCCCTCTCTCCCCCCCACTCCTTCTCCTCTCTCTCTCTCTCTGCTCATTTTCCCACCCTCTCCCACTCTCTCCCACCATTTGTAGTAGGTCCATGCTCCCACTCTCTTCTCAGTCTCCTCCATCTCTTCTCTTTCTGTGCTAAGCCCATGGCTGCTGTTTGTCTGAAGCTGTCTAGCGTGTATATGACATCAATGACATCATCGCTAAATATAGATAGATGAGAGTGCATGCCTGGCTTAATGCATTTGCATCAGACGAGCGGGGCAGACAACGGCTCAATTAGATTCATGCCTTCTGTCAGGTTAACGTGGCCATCAATGTAATTTGTGTGAAAACAAAAGTGCTTGCTGTGGCTATAGCACAATGTACAGCAAGCTTGCGGCTTTCTTGAGCAAAAGAACAGAGGTCGTGCGGTCACTTATCAATCAGCCATATTGATTTGATTAATATAAAGAATTAAATGCCTCTATGATGTGAATCTGGTTTCAGTATATTGCAAGCTGTATAAAGCAAGATATGGCCGGCCGGGAACCCCTGTTGGTGTTCTGCTATTGTCTGATACTCTACATGTACACACCTTCATCCAGACTATTTTGATAGCAAACAATCAATATTATCGTGAGCCCGGAACCCCACCAAAGCATGACATCACAAATAAAAAGAGATTGGATTTGGGTTTCGGAAGATGTGTATTATTTCAGCCATGCCTACATGCACACTCTTTGCTCTCTCCTTCCTTTTTGTTTGGATACAATTAACATTGTAGGTGAGGGAAAAGCAAATAATGAATCATGTTGAGCAAAGCAATGCTTAATGTTCAGATCAGGCTGTTGAGTCGTGCATGCAGTCATGTTTTCATTTGTATGTTCAAATGAAGAGACAAGAAAATTATGTTTTTAGTAATGTCTTTAATATTTTTATTCCAAGGATGGGGTAATTATTGTGTAAGGTGTTATTTAGATTAGAAGAAAATAACTATTAAAACATAACTATGTCACTGCAGAGAAATATTAAGTAGCAATTCTTTATAATTCAAGACAAGAAAGCCATTTATAATTAACTCATTTTCATTTGATATGATTACGTGTTCCATATGTCTTTGCTGCAATATTCAAACCCAGTGTATATAGGCTAAATTTTAGATATCAGCTCAGTAATTACTTAATCGTAAATCTTGTTGAACTTGAAGCTCCTAGACCCGTTTTGCAAGATTTAGTTCAAATTTTAAATGCATAAACCGGCAATACTGCATCACAACCAAAAGAAAACTACACTTTTAATTCTATACATCTATATATAACCTATATTGATTTTACTTTCTTAACTACACTTTTAATTCTATACATCTATATATAACCTATATTGATTTTACTTTCTTTTCATATAGTATCTAGATCCTTCAAATGAAATGTGCAGCATACCACAATAAACATGTTTTTTAATTTTTTTTTTTCTGGGCTGCCAGATGTGCAGCACCTGGGATTTTCTCTAATGCGATTGAGCTGCTGTGAATCATATCTGTGGTATTTCATTGATCGACAGGCATTTCTTGCTTGGTTGAGCAACCGTGACGACAGGCATAAAAGAAGATGTCACTTGAAATCCAATTGACTGATTTGTTATAGAGAAGAATGCAGGCTGTCAGTCAAGCATGGCTCACCTTGTCCTCATTTTAATAAAGAATTTTTTATTTTATTTGGATAGCTCAGTTTGTATACTTTGTTTTTGTTTGTAAGTACTATAATCACCTTTGATTCGAGAATGGAGAAAAGTATATTTGTAACTCTGAGCTTTGGGAAGGTTAGATGTAGTTTACAAATATTTAATTACAAAAAATGATAGATGGATATCTGTGATGATTTCATTTGTCTTTCTGACCTCTTTGATAGCAACCAGATAGAATGTAATGTACACAAATATCTCTCCAAATTCAGGGTATTACTGAAATATTTGTTTTTGAGACACTGTGAACTGAACCAAGTCGAAACTCAAATAATAGTAGCATACATTGATGGAGGATTTATTTAATCAGACTCTGGGTAATAATAGTGCACTCACATTGAGAGTAATTGAAGAAAAAAAGTAAAAGGAAATTCAACCTTGATTGTAAACTACTCTAGAGGAAAGCAGAAACAACAGAAAAGTAGACTGGTGAAAGTTTGAATGAAAGCAGACAAAAAATGAGGAAGTTATGATTATTTTGAAAGTTGCATTCACTATAGGTATGGGCTCTTCAAATTACATTGTAGCTGTATCGGTTATGTCTCTGTGATGAAGTGGGGACAACTTTCCCATTTGTTCCAACACACAAAATTACTACAATTTCAAATTTTCAAAAATGTATGACTCAGGGGGGGGGGGGGGTTCTTTCCCCTGTAGAGGACCTATTGAGAGGACCCTTCTTTAGAGGACCCTTCTGTTTTTCCTTATGTTTATCTTTTCTTTTTAACCTTTTTTTTTCCTGCTTTTATACAAATGAACTTATTACATGGGTTGCACTTTAAGAAATAATGGGTGTAATTTCAAAAGAATTTTACGGTATTAAAAATCAGAATGTTATGGGAATCTTCATTCAAAACAAATTTCCTGTATTGACTTTTTAAGGTTTACTGGTATGTAACCTCAGTCTAGCGTTCTTCCTATTCTCAGACTACAACAATTCTCAGTCAAACAACATAATATAAAAAATAATGATCCTTTCTACCAATACACTCTGTTGTGTGCTGCTATGATAGGGGTATGCCTGCATCTTACTTAAAAGAGAAGGTTGAGTTCTGGGAAGAGGTGAACAATAATTTGTGAGCGTTATCATTGTTCTAAGTGTGGAAGAGCATCAGATAAAACATGTTCCCTGAAAAGCATGGCTCTACAAATGCCTTCATATTCTAAATATGGCATGTATCTAACAGCATACATATGGGAACAGATTTGTATGCCACATGTTTGTGTAGTTCCATAAACATCTTTCTGTGTACAGTGCTTGTAACTTTACCAAAACTGGGCCAATTTTTAAAATCATTTTGATGATTCCAGAACCTTGCATTGCACACCAATACAACCTTTTCTGATCGATTCCACACCTTTTCTTTCACTGTGCAATCGCATGACCAAAACTCAACTTTATCTTTAAAGTTTTACTCCCTTCCGTTATAAGACTGGTGTACCCTGTAATTAGAGAGTAAAGCTGATGTTCATAACATTAACTTGATATCTTATCATCTCCATTGAAACGAGGACAGATCAGGTTCACCATCAGTTCATTCATTGTCTTTCCTTATAGTAAGAGGATGAGAGAGACAGGAAAAAAAGTGCAGTGTCTTTGTCGCTGTCTATGTTCTTAAGATTTCTCAACACATTTCCAGATGCGAATTCGGTTAGAAGTTTGATTGATTTTAAACTGCATGTAGCGGTTTATTGGTGTTTGGTCTACAAACAGTTTGTCTACTTCCCAATTGGTCTATTCCCATGTGGTAAGACCTGTCTACTATATCTACTTTCCAGCCCATCTAATTCCCAGTTTGTGTAATACCCATTTTGTTTACTATCTTATATATGGTCTGAAAATAATTTAATCACAAAATAATGATAATAAATAAACGATTATTGGACCTTATGGATAGTAGACCAAATGGGCATTAGACAAAACAGGAATTAGACCAAATGGTTACTAGACTAAATGAACAATAGACCAAATGGGTAGTCGACTAATTGGAGATTAGATTAATTGGAGATTAGACTAATTGGAGATTAGACCAATTGGAGATTAGACCAAATGATAAGTAGACCAAATGATTATTAGACCTTATGAATAGTAGGGTGATAGACCATATTGGAATAGAGTAATTGGGTAGTAGACAAAATGATTATTAGACCATGTGGATAGTAGAGGGGCTGGGTGTAGACCAGATGGGAATAGACTAATTGGGTAGTAGACGAACTGGTTGTAGACCAAATGGCAATTCCCCAAAATAGCAGTGTTTCCCAATATCTTCTGTGGAGAAAGTCAACTTCTGTCTATGTTATAGATCCACACATAAACGTGAATGTATCCTTGCACATTCATGTAGCATGCATCCGATGAATACTGTATGTTGGGTGCCATTAGATGAATGGTGCCATGCTGTAATGGCATTGAGCATTGGGATGTGCGAATGTGTGACGTGGCCAAGCTAATGAGATGGCCGCTGCGGCTGACTCTCAATCCAGTTGGCTCGTTGAATAGATCGTATGTTCACATCATCAACGATACACAAACCACGTCTAATCATGAAAATGGTTGAAATGAAGTCTGAAACATTATATGCTAGATCGAGTAGTGTGCAAAGAAATGAAAGAATAAACACATGAAAATAGATCAGTCTGAATCAATAACAATGGTGAAATTGATATCACTGTTTTATGTCTCCTCACTATAAAGAGAGTTGTGTAAATATGTATCAGGTAAACCTAAACTACTGTTTTGGTATATATGGGGTGGAAGATAATATAGGGCGGATTCTCTAAACAACTGAATGAAAACATTTTTCTGATATCAAATGTTTACATGAACTTGATTTCATTATCAGATCTAGAAACAATTTATGGTAGAAGGTTGATGAATATGTTCATCGTCATAATAGTTTAAATATCTCTCTCTCTAAAAAAAACACACACTATTTAAGTATTATGACATCGATTCCTTTTTTTTCATTCCATTACAAAAAAATGTTTTAGTTTTAGCTTGTTTATAAATGGGTGTTGCCATGACCTAAATAGTGGGGGCAGTACATATTTTAGACAGGCTGTTTGCTCATACATGGATTTCTAACAATTATGTGGTTCATGTAAAAAATGTATGTGGTTAGGTGGGATGTTGGGGGGGGGGGGGGGGGGGGGATGGGGGGTGGCGGTGGAGGGAGATAGTGTCAGACTGAATCGGTTTATGTGCCTATTCAGTAGTCCTGACCTATAAAATTTCCCTTTTGTGTGCTCCATGCAGGTGCTAATTGGAAACTAGTCAAGTGTCTAGCAATGGTCGCCTTTAATATAGAAGGGAGGTTTAGGTGGTCATTATTATTATTTTTCTTTGAATATGATGTCTAAGAGCTGATAGCCCTCATGATTACCTCCCATTATCCTTCATTTCCGTTCTAGTGATGATGGGGGTGTAGAGTGATGAGATGGATGGGGGCCTCCATGATGCAAGGGAGTAGGAGGAAAATGTCTGGAGGCTTGCTTGATCTTTATTCATTTTGATTGAACGATTCAACATTTCAATGTAATATAACCTTGGTAGTTACGAAGGTGGGAATACTTATTACAGAGGTATAGGGCTATGTCACAAACGTAATTTTACACCATAAGGCTGGTGTCTGCAAGTATTAAAGGCATGAACTTATACCATCTAGGTTATTTAAATTGTTTACATACATTTAACACTCTTATAGCTCCCAGAGATGATTTGTATTTGTTAAGAGAAAAGCAATTTCATGGCTACATAGTTCATATCTAAGATCTAACTAAAACAACAACTCTATGTTGACAAAAATATACAGAAATTTAACCTATAGTACAGTTTGTGTTCAGATTCCCCAAATCATTTTCTTAGGATAGAGCTGTGACATTAGCTTTGACCCAAATATGATGTTCAGCAGAAATAATTCAAAAGAATGAGCACATCCTCTAAAGAAATTTAATTGAAATGGAAAAAGAAATTCATGATCCCAAGGTATCTCTGCTGATTAAGATCTTATTTTATGACTTGTTTGATGCATGTTTGATGATAATGAACTGTGACAGGAAAACCAAACATGCCTGTTTTCTTTGAAATGTTTCACAGGAAGGGGTCTTAATGAGGTTATGCTGCAACATCCACTTAGCCACTGCATGTCTAGCTGAGAGAGACATGTATTTTGCAGTGAAAAGCTTTCAGGCATCCGGCAACGAAATGAAAGCATTGCAAAATTAATATGATGCATCTCTTCTCCATAGTCAGTCATTAAAGCTGCGGGACCCATGTGCTGATAGTGCCATTATAAAGGATAACAAATGAATGCGGCTGTCTAGATCCTTTTGTAGTTTCCTCTTTGTGTTTTAAACTAATTATCCATTAACACTCTTTTTGTTGATGACCGGTAATCATTTCAAATCTCGCTACCTCTTCACTGTAATAGACCATTTTCGCAATGTAATCAAATTTAATGCACACATTTTTAAGTGCCTCATTACAAATGATTGTATTTCAATAGTCAACAATTAATGAATGCAATTTACTTTCTGACTTTTCAAATACAATTTTTCATAACAGGTTAATGAAATCGTCCTTTTTTTCACTACCGTCACTTCATGAAAACAGCGACGAAATAATTTGTAATGTGGCACTTAACAACATTTATGCATTAAATTTGATTGCATTACCAAAATGGTCTATTCTAAATTCAATTAAATTCTATTTGATTTATTTCAACCATAAAAATACATATGCAATAATTAATGGAAATAAAAAAATGGGTTTGGAGCCCCTAAAGAAGTTTGAATACAAACTTGTGGTTGGGGAACCAACCATGACATCAAGAAATTAGAAAAATCAACAAAACAACATTAAAGGGAAAACAAATATATACAAGAAGCAGATTATAAAGACCTATATATGAGAATAAAACATTTACAGCAAAGCACCAGCCATATGAGTGCACATGGACACATCGTCAAGCTATACTGCGTCCCGATGCACCCTTATATTAACCCTTCTGGCAGACGGTTTTCCTAGGTAATATTGATTACAGATGAGCTGTTTACCAGAACAGGCAACTATTATTCTTTATTTAAAAAATGGTATTAGGTATATTTGATGATTTGACTTTGATGACTTATTCCAATTTCCATTTTCATTTCCCTCCTCCTCTTTTCAGTCCATGTCAGCTTTGGTTATTGTGGAGCCCATCTTGGTATAGTAGTCCTCATCAACCCTACATCGGAGTATCTCTCTCAGGAGCTACGTAGCCTCCTGGCCCACCCTTCAGTCAACAAGCATGTCTCCTTTGGAGGACACTCTCTTGAAGGTACCGGTGACTGGGTCCTCCATGATGACACCTATACGCTTCATGATGTCTCGGAGGTCTTCTGTGAGCCTGATGTGGATGCCGCACTGCTCAAGGTATTGATCTCGTAGGAGTTAGAAGTCTAAGTGCATGGTCCCGGCCCTCCCTCTTTCTAATTATAAAGATAATAACCTTAAAGTTACACTATTACATTCATGTAGCTGCCAGTCACAAACCGTTCTCATTAGGCCTGTGTTCATCAGCTAGAGATTGCCAAATAGCCAGCTATTTCTGATTTGGGAAATAATCCCGAAGTTAAAAATTCTGTCAGATCAAGACTTGACCTTGAAACTAAAACTCAAGTTCGAGAAATTAGCTCTAGATATTTTGCTCAGCATTCATGCATAGTGCGAGTCTTCTGGCTGGTGAAGATGCACAGACACATAGCGGATATTTTGCAAACTAGCCCGAGATATCTTGGGATGATTATCTCGACCAAATATCCCGCTAATTGCAACTTCGGGCTGATGAAGACGCAAATTAACTGGATAATTTGCGATCGGGATAGTTCAAATAGCGGGATATTTGGCAATCTCGAGCTGATGAGGACAGGCCTATTCAGAAATGTACTCTAAAATTTACTCTTGGTTCCATGGCTCTGTGCTTTATTTTGTCAAGGATATAGGAGTAGGTTAGTCTTGCAATTGGGTTTAAGATGGAAATGAAGATGATTGTGTTCTATAGATGCTCCTGATGCCACCCAAGACTGACAAAGTTTTGCTAGGTGTATGTGTTATGGAATTGGTAACATTAGGGGAGCCCTCAGGATAAAAGAAGACCCCTCTTTGATTTGTGCTCACCTACATTTTATTGCAAGGCCGAGTTGACAAAGTCCAGTATTATCTGGTTCAGATGATATTAGGGACTTTTAGATTCGCACGAAGACAATAGGTCTATGCTACAATCGATGTCATTTTAATGCACTGCCTTGAATGGACGTCACACGTATCAATCCACGCAAATCTAAAAGTCCCTAATACTGAAAAAGGTGAGCAGTGAAGGTAGATTGTGAGGGATTGACTTTAGCCACCCTCTCCCTTACATTCACATTAAAAAATGCTGCAATGAAATAATAATAAAGATACGTTAGTAGGTAAACTTAGTAAGTTTGAAGTGATCTAAGGATGATTAGTCAGACAAATATTCCATATATTTATGGAAAGGCTTCAAAATTATTATTTGCTCATGTGCTTCAAAATGAGACTTTATAGGGATTGATTTTCAATTGAGATATATTTCAGTTCTTAATGCTGTTATTGATTTTCGTCATTGTGCTTCATATGAATGATTCATTGTGGCCCAATTTCATGGTCGGTAATTGGGGAGTCCATAATGGTCTTGTTTGCTCAGTTTCTTGGCTGTTTATTCAAGGAATAAAAGTATAATCTAACCGGATCCAAGGTGCAGACTTTGTTTTGTCTGATCAGAAAGAAAGAAACATCAATATTTGAATTTCACATTGATTCATATCAAAGGGGAATATAATCACGATCTTTGTACCTCCAAGATGTGACCAGAGTAACTCACAATCTGGGGTATTGGCATAGTCACCTTTGCAATGCAGAGGTGCCAAAAATAATTCACACTTCTTTGAAAGATTAACATGATATGGGCTTTGATGGTCCCAAAGAGAGCAAACATTACCTTCATCTATGGGTGCGTTCAAGCAACACCTTTTCACCCTAGAAACACTGTTATCAAAGACGTTTAGTTTAAAACACGGTTGCGTTCAAGTGATTTCAAGCAAATTTTCGTCGGTCGCAGAAATAAACGTGTTTAAAAACGCAAACATGAGAAACTGAAAAAAAATGCAATTTGTATCGTGATTCTGCAGAATCAGGGTCGCTAAGAATCACTAAAACGAACAGATATCTCAATTGGGATTCTATAACGTCATCATCGTGGCCTGCGCATGCTTCCGGTTTGGCTGACAGTTGACCGTAAACAAATTCAGAAAGTATGCAGCCTATTGTTGACCTATATACTCCTGGGTCAAACTGCACAGTGTGATGAGCAGTGGCTGGGCTTGAAATGAGCGAGAATCAGCGTTGATGAAAAACCGTTTGAACGCTCTCCCGCAGTAACCATGTTTTTTAACAGCGTTTTGATTTGTGATTCATGTTTGTGATTCTAGCTTTAAAAAATCACTTGAACGCACCCTATATCTTGTAGTGTGCAGGTGGGAACTGTGGATACGCGAACATGTTCAGCAAATTTGTACAACATCCTGGCAAGATGTAGGCAAGATTGCAGCCAAACTTTTGTTTTCTTGTTAGCTCAATCATGTTCTGAACAGCTTTCACACACCTGTCTCATTATTTGACATTATGTTTAGTTTCCAGCCTCTGCCATAACATCGGTAGGAGTCTGCGATCCACATGTTTGAGGCACTTTAGGGGGATCAAAGTGTGTTTTCCAAAGTGGATTGATGAAAACATGGTGTATTATTGTATGTAATAAAGTGTCTTTCTCTCATTATCATTCAATTGTAAGCTCTTTAGTCTTATTGGAATTGTTTATAGAAGCAGAAATTCAAGCCCTGAGGAAAATACAGAACATAAATACAGTAAAAGCTAGTAAAATGGATGCCTCAGATGACGATGTAGGTGAAAGATTATTTAAACTGGATCTACTTTAAACTAATTGATGAACCTTTTCTTTCAGTTTTTCTCATCTTCTCTCTTTCTCTCTGTACGTCTGTCTCTCTGTATCTGTCTCTCTCTCTCTCTCTCCCTCTCCCCCTCTCTCTGTGTCTCTCAATCCCTGTCTGAGCATCTCCATTCTCTTAATACTGCATCTCGGTCTATGTCCATTTTTTGTTATATTTCTGACTCCTCTGTTGCTGTTTTTTTAAAATATATTTATGTTATTGACCTCTCTCTCTCTCTTTCTCTCTTCCCAGGCCTCCCAGGATGAGAAGCAAACATTGTGTCTCTCTGGATGTCATTGGTCCACTGCAGCCGTTACTAAGGAACCATTTAGTAAGAGCCTCAATCTAGCTATCAACCCTCAGGTGAGAGAAAGCTTCATGTATTTTTAAATAGCTCTGCCACGACAAACGCTTCCCCAATGACAAAAGCAAGCATTGAACATTCACATGTAAATATGTGGTTGTAATTTTGTTAGAATGTTATAATTTATGATCATTTTTTGTTAAATGATTGCCAGATTTCGAACAGTATCTTTGACTACAAACAAACAACAAACAAGGGAGGCCTTGATTTAATAGCTAGCCTGTATGGCTCATTATGGTTTCCAGAAAATAAAAATTACCTTGTGCTCATCTTACATAATAATTGTGTACGTAATATGATGTTCGGTATTGTGGGGGCATTTCCAAAATCTATAAATGTGTTTTTGGAATTATTTTTCAGTATTAATTTCTACATATTTTGGTCTCTCCCTCCTCTGTTTCTGACTTTAATGTTGACTCTTTTCTTTATCGTAATTGATGTTTTTGAAGAATGATCAATAAACAGTGCATTTGGTTGATCTATTGCATCCATTGCTGACATTTGGATCAATCTTTTGCACTGATTTGCTTTTGAAATTAAAAGTAACTTATCAACAGTTCAGAATTATTTTATTGGATATATATACATGTCTATGGGTCTATCCTTATAAAGTTTTATGTTCATGTATAATCATTGAGAGCTCAGTTTGAAATGAAATGCTGATATTATTTGAACTCTTTTGTTGTGATTACAGGAAGCAAAGCATGAAGTTGAGGGTGTATCCATACTTCTAGAGACCATCAGGTCCAGGATTGAGGTGCCATCGCCCTTTGATCTGCTGGAACCACCAACCATGGGTGTAGGCATCAAGTGTAAGATTACCAAGCCTACTGTCCTCATCTTCCCTGCAGCTAAGGGTGACTGTGCCTTCTTTGCAGTCAGTGACTTCAGTCTCTTTGTTGGTGGAGGCTATAGCATCAAGAGTTGCTTCTGGAAGTTCGCCAAGCATCTGCACAGGGTGGATGCTGTGATCCTACCCCATACTCGTCCCGACACTGTCATTGGTATCAACAGTCTGCTCAAGAGGAAGATCGCTGAGAAGCAGCTCGAGGGCCCTGAGATAGGCGCAGAGGGCTATGAAGATTGGCAGATCAAGTGCAACTCACCAGAAGTTGGTGTCGTCTACATGAATGCTCCTGACAACAAGCAATCGCCAAAGAGTCTCGTCTTGAAGACAGTCAGTCAAGGAAACAAGACCACAAAATTACTACAGCAGCTGTCCATTAAGCCGTTCCCCTGCACAGCAAACGGTGGCAAGGAAATCAAACCCATCACACTCTATCTTAAGGTAGGCATAGGGAAGCTAGACATGTACATCTTATCCCCTACCCAGGATAGCAAGGAGTTGAAGGATTTCCTGCAGCAATGGAGTGCAGGAAAGGCATTTGGCAAGGTGAAGACAGGAGTGAAGGTGAATGGCAAGGAATCAGAAGTGACCCTTCCCAATGCTTGCTCCATCTGTGCTCTGATGGTATGGCAGCCTGCAAGTCCTCATGAGAACATCGTCAGGGTACTCTTCCCCGGGAATGCCCCTCAGAGCAAGATCATAGAAGGGCTAGATAGAGTCAAGCATCTTGAGTTCTTAAAGTTCCCAGATGCTGTACAAGCCAGTTCAGGGAAGATAACAGCAATGAAGAAGAAAGATGTGACAGCAATGAAGAAGGCAGCAGCTAATGGAAGTGGAGCAGTCAATGGCTCTGTCAATGGAAAGACGTCTCAAATGAAAGAAGCCAATGCATGCACAGACGGTGTTCATTGTAACACACCCCCTCCGTCCCCTTCAGGGGTCTGCACCGATGGTGTACATTGTAATACACCCCCTCCAGGGAACGTATGCACTGATGGCGTACATTGTAACACACCGCCACCAGCTAATGTATGCACTGATGGTATACATTGTAACACGCCACCACCAGACAATGTTTGCACCGATGGTATACATTGCAACACGCCACCACCAGACAATGTCTGCACCGATGGAATACATTGCAACACGCCACCACCAGACAATGTCTGCACCGATGGTATACATTGCAACACGCCACCACCAGACAATGTCTGCACCGATGGAATACATTGCAACACGCCACCACCAGACAATGTCTGCACCGATGGTATACATTGCAACACGCCACCACCAGACAATGTCTGCACCGATGGTTTACATTGTAACACGCCACCACCAGACAATGTCTGCACCGATGGTATACATTGTAACACGCCACCACCAGACAATGTCTGCACCGATGGTATACATTGTAACACGCCACCACCAGACAATGTCTGCACCGATGGTATACATTGTAACACACCACCACCAGAGAAAGATATCAATGAAGATGATGCTGCTAACTTTAACTTGAACCAACATCCAGTGAAATTCAATTTTGATGGAGTTAAGGGTAGCGATAATGTGGATAACAATCGTTGTGAGGATGGTGTTCACTGTAACACTCCTCCCCCTGAAGATGACTATGAGCAAAATGGAGTTAATGGTGATGTAGCTGGCATGGCATCTGGGCATGGAGATGATGCCTTTGTAGCTTCTGGTGACAGTCAGCTACCTGAGAGTCAACAGGGAATTGAGAGCGATGTTAACTTCAACCCTACACATCCAGGATTGACAAAGATTGACACAAGCAGACTTCAGGGTAGAGGTTCCCCAGAAAGACTTGCCTCTGGTGAGATAACTCCTGCAGACATGGTAGAGTATGGCATGGATGAGGACTCTGATGGATTTTCATCAGGTCATGGGACTGTAGGGAATACCCCAGACCAGCCAGAGCCACCCAGTGATCCAGCAAAAGAGGACTTTCCTGCAGCTGATTATGGGCCACCTGTTAGTGAATTACCTGAGATTCAATCAGAACAGACATCATCAGGGGTAGACATGGAAGATGCATCATCACCAAGTGACCAGCCACATCCATGGGAGCCTACCATTGAGCTTTCAGCAGATACCACAGTAGAATCTTCCCCTGCTCAAGATGTCCTTTTGGGCTCTCCTGAGATACAGGTCACAGAACCAGCAGAAATGGTTTCAGAAGCCCGAGATGCTGATGATAATATTGGCCAGCACGGTGCGCTTGAAGCAAGCTGTGAGCTGGATGAGTCATCTGAAGAAATCTCCCAGGCATCTGAGATTGAAGTTAAGCCAAATCTCCTAGAGGATGATGCTGAAGATGTATCAGATCCACAACCAGAATTAATGCAGTATTTTCGCAATGTGGAAGAAGAAGAAGAGAAAACCAAGATGGACTCTTCCTTGCCAGAAGCAGAATTTACCTCCCAGGCTGACATGGAGCCAAAAGATCCTCTGCATGTAGAGACTGATGATCCATACTTATTAAGTAATGCACCCGAGGCAGAGCAAGAACGTGACGTTGGGGAGGATACCACATACTCCAGGGAACCTGCTACCGAACCTGAAGCAGATCAACAAGTCCTTGCGGAAGAAAGTCATGTAATAGAAAGCGAATTTGCTGCACCTCCTGAATTTGCAGCACCTCCTGAATTCTCAGCACCTCCTGAATTCTCAGCACCACCTGAATTTGCAGCTCCGCTAGATTTTGGAGATGAAGCGGGCATGGTTGATGAACAGAACGTTCTTGATGAAGAGATCACCAAGGAGACTGATCTGGATGAAGCAATCAAAGAAAGAGATCTAGATGAGGAAGCAGAAGGCCAAGAGGTAGTCCAGGAAACCAATTTGGATGAAGTTGAATCAGAAATGAAATACTCAGAGGAATCTGCAGTGCAGGAGGAAGTCAATTTACAAGAAACTGACCTTGATGATTTTACAATGGGTGTTCGGCAAGAGACTGAAGCAGACGTCTCTCCCAATCAAGCACCTGCAGAGGAATTCAATATGGACTTTAGTGGTGCTGTTGAAGTAGAACAGATCCATGACCAAGATATCAATGTTGCAGCGGAAGTCTATGGGCAATCAGAACAACCTGAAGAAGATGAAGTAGTGGAAGTAAGACAGAGCCATGATGATAAGACAAATGATGCACGTGAGGTCTTTGGGCAACCAGAACAACCGGAAGAAGATGAGGAAGTAAGACAGAGCCATGATGATAAGACAAATGATGCACATGAGGTCTTTGGGAAACCAGAACAACCGGAAGAAGATGAGGAAGTAAGACAGAGCCATGATGATAAGACAAATGATGCACATGAGGTCTTTGGGCAACCAGAACAACCGGAAGAAGATGAGGAAGTAAGACAGAGCCATGATGATAAGACAAATGATGCACATGAGGTCTTTGGGCAACCAGAACAACCGGAAGAAGATGAGGAAGTAAGACAGAGCCATGATGATAAGACAAATGATGCACATGAGGTCTTTGGGCAACCAGAACAACAGGAAGAAGATGAGGAAGTAAGGCAGAGCCATGATGATAAGACAAATGATGCACATGAGGTCTTTGGGCAACCAGAACAAACTGAAGTAGATGATGCTCTTATCCAAGAATCTGCTCAAGAAATCGTTCAAGAGGTTGTTGGTGCTGCAGTAGGAGTTGTTGAAAGGGACCAAATGCTCAGTGAAGACTTGATGCAAGATGATGTAGTTCAACAGGACACTTTTCCGGATGCACAAGAAGACTTTGGAACAGATGTTGATGCAGTGCCAGAGGACATTCCAGCTGTTGAAGAATCGTATGTGATTGAAGATAGTGAGGTAAAAGAAGAAGTGGTTTCTGTCACAGAGCCAACCATTTCAGATTCTTTGGAGCAGAATGCCTCTGATTCTTTAGAGGATCTGCAGAATGAAGCTGCTTCAGATGTTGACATTCCTCCTGTGATTGAGGAAGAAGTTAGTGTACAAGTTGAGGAACAACAGGAATTAGAACCGGAGGGAAGCCTTATGCTTGAAGCAACCTTAGCTCCTGCTGTGGACGTAGGTGGAGCCAATCTGCTGGCAGACATGAGGGAGGATAGCGTAATTACGCCGGAGGTAGAAGTTGAAGTGAAACCTGAACCGGCTGTTGAACCAATAATATCTGATGAACCAATGATTCCTGATCATTCTTCTCCACCAATTGTGCTGGCAGACATGAGGGAGGATAGCGTAATTACGCCGGAGGTAGAAGTTGAAGTGAAACCTGAACCGGCTGTTGAACCAATAATATCTGATGAACCAGTGATTCCTGACCATTCTTCTCCACCAATTGAAGAACCAAAACTACAAGAGTCACAAGAACCAGATACAGTACTCACAGAACCAGACCTCCTGCAAGAGAGCCTGGGCAATGTTCCTGAATCACCAACAGTACAACCAGAACAGCAAACTCAAAGTACAGCAGTGCTCTTAGGAAGTTCATCTGTCTCCTCTGTTACTAAATCGACCAAAAGCTCAAGTGAGTCCAGTGGGAAGCGTACACCATCACCAGTCAAGTCATCAAGCAAGAACTTGAAAGATAAAGACAAGACAAAGAAAGCAACTGATAAGACAAAGGCTTCTGATTCTAAGACGAAGACTGCAACTAGAAGCCCATTATCATCGAAAACGACAGAGAAAAAGACAAGTGCAAAGACTTCCGTGACTCCCTCTGTCAAGAAGGCTGTCTCTGAGAAGAAAACTCCTTCCGATACAAAGTCAACAGTCAGAAAATCACTCATAGAAAAGAAAACTACAGAAAAGAAACCAGCTGATAAGAAGACTCCCGGTGAGAAAAAGACTGCAGCTGAGAAAAAAACTCCAGCAGAGAGGAAGCCGCCTATGAAGTCAAGATCACCGCCTTCATCCAGTAGAGGGACTGAGAAGAAGTCATCTTCTGTGGCATCTAGGAGCAGTCAACAGGAATCATCGGCAAGTGCAGATGGTCCATCAAAGAAAGTAAATGGAGTCTCATCAAAGACTACAACTCAGAAGAAGACTAGCACTCTTGCATCAACGCCAACAAGCAGACCAGGGGCTAAGCAACCAGCTTCACGTCCATCAACTGCCGGAAGGCCAACCTCGGGAGCGAGTAAAACCGGAGACTCCAAGAAAACAAGTGATAGGCCAACCAAATCAGCGCCTTCCTCTAGAGGAGATGCCAAGTCAAATGGTGTAAAGAAAGCTACGGCCAAGTCAGCCCAGCCTTCTAAAGTAGCAAGCATTCCAGCCAGTGGGCCTGCCGTTTATCTAGACCTTGCCTACATACCTAACCATGCCAGTGCGGATAGTATCAACTCAGAGTTCTTCAGACGAGTCAGGGCCAAGAACTACGTCATCAGTGCCAATGACAAGGCAAGGAACCAACCTGCGGTAGCTGTTCTTGATGCGCTCCTGGAAGGTAAGATGAAATGGGAAGATGCAGAGGCAGAGATCACCGTTATTCCAACTTACGACTACTTATCTCTACGGGACTGGGAGCTCACCAAGCATCAAGAACTCTCCAAAGCCAAGATTGAGATCTCGCAGCCTGCTTGCAGGAGCATCGTTCAAATGAAAGATGAAAACTTCTTCATGTACAAGGTAGAGTTGTAATGGCTCTCTGATGACCATCCTTGAATGAGAGTATATGAATGTTCAATCCACTTAGATAGAAGATTTAGCTTTTTCTATTCACAAAAGTGTCCAAGATACTTTATGCAATGTCTGTTACTTTTCTTTTTCTGTATTGTTTGTTGTAAAAAATAATGTAATTGTATAAAGAAACCAAAGTATGTTTAAAAGATAATGGCATGAAATGCCTAAAATACATAAACTATGTACAGTTTGTTTGTGCGTGAAGAATAAGATGAATGGTATTCCACTCATCACAGAATGATTGTGGTAGATTAAAATCGAAAAAATGGCTTTTAAAAAATGTCATAAAGTATAGCTAAATGTGATGTGGTACATAGTGCATTGTAAGCATACATGTATCAATAAGGTACTTAAATTGAAAGCTTTGCTTTCTAAGAAAATCATGAAATATATTCATAACAACTGAATAAGGATTAGCCCATATTCAGTTCATAGCGTAGAAAGAATGGAAGCCCATTGTGATGTCAGAGGTAAACCTTTGATAATTTGTTTAACCGTAGCAGTAATGTTATTGCTTTATCAAAGGGTCATTGACCTATTCTGCGAAGAATCATGCAACAGTGATAAAGTCATGTGCAACAGGACAAAACAAATTATTGTGAAACTTTCTTTAAGTCAAATCAGATCAAACAAAAAGCAGAATTCTAGTATGAAGTGATTTTTAAAAATTATCCTAGAAAAAAAAATTACCTTGTAAAATTATTCATAGCTCTACAATGTTTTGAGATAAAGTATGGACTTCTATACTCCCTTAGATACAGGTTTACTCAGTCCTTTAAAAAAGACATCAATAAAAGCATGAATCATTTTTTAACGTCATGTAGTGATAATAATGCTGATATAATATCTTTACATGCACATTATTCATTCCTGTGTCATGAGCTTGTTATGAAGTACTTGCATGAAAAACAGAAGTCAAGACTATTTGTTTCAAATTGAATAGATTCTCTTGAAATATTTCTGGCCTGTAGGACGCTTGATGTAAATGTTTACATCTATGAGCGCTTACAGAGTTGGACAGAAGTCTCTCTGTGCACTTTTCAAAATAAGAATCTGAATGTGTGGAATTGGTAATCTGATATCATTCCGTTGTAGACCTAGACCAAGGCTGAGTAGTCCTGGTCCTACATCCAAAGGAAGATGTGCTTTGTTAAACTAAATTATCTTAAATGAGTTGACACATTGATATAATGTGAAATATTTACAGGTTTGCTGAGATGAAGTTTTTATCATACAAGAATAGAAAAGTCGCTCCTGGAGATATTCTGGATTTCACGTCGTGTATGATAACTCATAGCATGTTTATCAATTACAGTTTGGTCCTAGAGTCATTACAAACAATGTGGAATTGAATAATTGCTCTATCAAACTCTGTTAACACTCTTAACTGCAGAGGACGTTCCACACAACAAGTATTAGACCCAGTTTTATGGTATTTAATAGGAATATAAGCTTGATTGTAAACAATATTTCAGTATAGAAAAAGTTTCCCCCACAATGTTATATTTGGTGATATTAGCATTGTAATGTAGTCAAACCATTTATCATAATTTCTTTATATTTCTTTGTAAATGAGGGATCATATCTCAGTTTCGTTTGCATGGAGCATTCTGTCTCAATATGTCCTTACATTTCATGACAGGCATTTGGTGATCGAGAATTGTGTATACAGTTTGTAAAAAGTGTTCATAGGAATATTAGTACAGTAATTTAAATAGAGCTTGTGCATTAACCCATGCTTTCTGATTGGGATATTAACCCCTTAAAATTGTGCAATTCAACAGCTTTGTGACAAGGATTATCTGCTTAGGCTCGTAATGATAACCAATATGTTCAATTGAAGATATTGTAATGACTTTTGGCTTTCATGTTTATTTGGATCATGTTATTTTATTACTGTTGAAAGAAATTGCCCTGTATAAAAGTGAGTGTATTTGCATAATGAATATCATGTATTCAATGAATACCTAACGATAGAGGTCGTAATCAACCTGTGCCAAGCATAATCTTGCCCCCTTTGTATTAAAACATATATTCATAAATATAGCAGGCCGGGATGAAACCTTAGAATGTGATTGCACTAGTCCATGTATTGATTAGTTTGCCACCATACACCATGTCATATCTTCACCATAATCTATATGCACGCACCATAATTCCGAAGCCTATCAAGGTTTATTGTATAAGTGTTTCAGACTTAACATTTGACAACCTTTTTATGCCTCCGCCACCGAAGGTGGTGCCGGAGGCATCATGTTTTCGGGTTGTCCGTCCGTACGTCCGTACGTCCGTACGTCCGTCCGTACGTCCGTCTGTACGTCCGTACGTCCGTCCCGTTTGACCGTTATCACAATATCTCAAGAACCATTTAAGATATTAACTTAAGACTCGGGAATAGTATTTATCACCATAGGAAGACGATCTGATTAGATTTTGGAGTACGTAGGTCAAAGGTCACAGGTCACAGAGGTCAACTTATGAAATTCCTTGTATTGAGTTTGTTAGCGCGATATCTCAAGAACCATTTGAGATTTAAACTTCAAACTTAAGGATAGTATGTATCACCATAGGAAGACGATCTGATTAGATTTTGGAGCATGTATGTCAAAGGTCAAGGGTCACAGAGGTCAACTTATGAAATTCCATACATTGAGATTGTTATCATGATATCTCAAGAACCACTGGAGATTTAAACTTCAAACTTAGTGATAGTGTGTATCACTATAGGAAAACAATCTGATTACATTTTGGAGCACGTAGGTCAAAGGTCAAGGGTCATAGAGGTCAACTTATGAAATTCCATACATTGAGATTGTTATCATGATATCTCAAGAACCACTGGAGATGTAAAAACTTCAAACTTAAGGATAGTATGTATCACCATAGGAAGACGATCTGATTAGATTTTGGAGCACGTAGGTCAAAGGTCAAGGGTCACAGAGGTCAACTTATGAAATTCCATACATTGAGATTGTTATCATAATATCTCAAGAACCACTGGAGATTTAAACTTCAAACTTAAGGATAGTGTGTATCACCATAGGAAGACAATCTGATTAGATTTTGGAGCACGTAGGTCAAAGGTCAAGGGTCACAGAGGTCAACTTATGAAATTCCATACATTGAGATTGTTATCATGATATCTCAAGAACCACTGGAGATTTAAACTCCAAACTTGTTTAAATTGCTCTATGGCGGAGGCATCATTTTCGACTGCGCGCAGTCAAAATTCCATCTAGTTCGTTGTATGAAATCCCAAGGTAATTTGCAAGCTAACGTTTCATTGGATAAAGACTTATGATTATCGCCATAAAACTGCAGCTTTTCCCTTTGTACTGGCCAATTTTCATATGTCATTTTAAATGTTTGATGTCTATGTTTTTGCTCTCAACCCTTTTTTTAATATGATATATCTTGTGCAAAAGGTCAAAATAGGTGTAATACCAACAGACAATCATAGCTATTCTTTGACATAATTATATACAATTATCAACACTGATCATTGATCAGGTTTGGGGCATTGGATTAAGGGGCATTCTACTTCTATTTCTATTCTGCTACTTAATTGTCAAAGCCTGCATGTTCAGCATCTATACAAGAATGCTTATTACGGGATATATTACGCAATCTGTTATTTCCTACATGCTGCAGATGGTGTAATGAGTTTGATTTATTCATTACCACCTGTCTCCTTCGATTAATATCATCCATTCAGTGTCATTATTAGTTTATCATCGTGCCAATCATGTAGCGAATACTAATTAGATACCTTTCTCCTCTCAAAGTCCCCCCAACTAATGGATGCTGTGTAAGTTTCATGACAGTACCCTGACATGAATTGCATGCTATGGGAATTGATCATATTGGCCGTTTGTCAAAGGCTATTGTTATACCATTGTGTTAAAGATAACCATGCAGTATACTTGTATCATTGTGTAAGCTGTAGCAAGCTCATTAATTATATACCGTGGACAATCTGCTATTGTTGTATGTTAAAATTGCACAATCTATTTCCATTATCTAGACAAGCAATTATGCATCATGAGCTGTCTACAAGTGACAATTATCATATGTGAAATGTACATATGCAGTGACTTTACTAGAATGATACAATTCCATAATGTATTCTCAGCCCACCCATGATCTACACTAGCTTTAATCAATAAGTTATCTTGATGATATGCATCTATGTAGAGGTAAAATGGTATATTCCGTTAAAAAAAGAAAATAATTATGGAATCTAAGGTTGGAGTGCATTTCTATTGTCTTAGATTATGTTATCCTGAAATATTGAGAATCATGATATTTGCCAAGCCCTTGCCTGATAAAGCAAAATATTTCAGCAGCTTGCACAAGTGTTTCTTTTTCATGAGGATTTTTGTGAATACCAAGGACATATGTTCAAACTATGAATTAGATATTGTCTAGCCGAAGAACAAAAAATGTGCAAAACGTGACTATTTTGTTTCCATCCAGGTTGCAAGAATTTGGTGATGACATATGTGACATGAAATCAAGCCAATTGAACAACCTACTATAACCTGTTAAAAAAATGTGTCTGTTCTATAATTGGTCTGATTGAACTTAAACCATGTGCATGTGCAAGTAAATACATATTGTTGTCCTGACCGCATAGATAACTACTTTGCCTCATATATGCTATGTGAGTTATGATTTTAGAGAATGGGATTTCCAGCACATTTTGTATACTTTGCTCATATTTTCTGATCTAAAATCTAAAATATCCTCCTGGGTGATAAAGAATTCAGAATAACTTTAAGCTGTTTCTTTCAAAATGCAATGTATTATTACTCGCATTCAAGGTGAGCTTTAACCTTAAGATGGAAGGTGTTGCTGCGACAGGTCGATAGTTTGAGATCCTCTGTTCAGTGATCACTGTACATTGTTGATCAGGTGTAATGATAATTACTGAGAGTGTTACATTCGTCAAATTCTACTGTTGGCTTGATTGCTTTAACACCTCTACTCAACCGTTGATAACCGTTGATACATCCTCGGTAATGTGACATACTGGTATGCATACACAAGTTATATTTATTGTAATATTTACCTTCTCTCTCTCTCTCTCTCTCTCTCTACCTCTACCTCTCTCTCTTCCTCCTTCCCTGCCTCTCCCCCCCTCTCTCTCTCTCTCTCTCTATCCCTCTCTCACTATCTCTATCCCTCTTTCTCTTACTCTCTTTCTCTCTCTCTCCCTCTTTCTCTCTTTCTCTCACTTTTTTCTTTCTCTCCCTCTTTCTCTCTCTCACTTTTTCTTTCTCTCTTTTGTATCAACGTTCTCTTCATCCTTTTATTTCTATCCACTCTGATAATCTCTCGTCTGATCTTTTTAATGTTATTTATGGCATAATTCTCATTTATTTCTTTTCATATTCTGTTTACCAGATACATGTAACATATTGTACTTGTTTTCATGTAAAGTACATGAAAAGTAATGATGCAAAGAGGGATATAAACCATGAATGTTTCGACACTAAACAAGTAACTGATTGGTTTAACCATGATATGTACTATCAACTTGTAGATTGCTTAATGGAATGATACAATTCTTGCATTTAAAAATAGTAGATCCATCTTCAGATTGGATACTGAAAGTGACAATACATCACCTGTTAAAATGTATAATTTATTTCTTTGTCATCACAAATGTCATTCTGTGGTTTCTGTTAGAAATCAGTTCACTGGGGGATAGAAATAATTTCTTAACATAATTATACACTGTCATTGATTTAATGCATTGTGTGAACTGAACACATAGATGTATATTGCTGCTATTGGATGTACCGCTTGAAGCGTTCTTCAGCCATCTTTCTCACCCTGATTAAGAACGAATGTCAACAGTTTCACATTTGTAAGGAAACATTCGGTGACCTGAAGGCGCTGATGAGAATTTGAACAAAAATAGGAGAATGGGAAATGCACTCATTTTTCAACTTTGGTTGCCACAATGAAGGTTTTGAGAATCAAAAGGGCATTTTCAAACAGTTTGATTACTAATGTCTGTAAGTGCAAAATCATTCCTATGTTCTTGTATGTTGTCAGTGATTTTTCATTTACAGGTCTCGATTTGTTATATTTGAACAGAATTTGTAAAGATTGTAGTCTTGACGGCGAATGATTTAAATCTGATACTTGGAGATCATTTTGTTTTTTGGTTTGGTACATGGCCTTACAGCATAGTTTAGGAAGAGTATGCAAGACAGCGAACTTTCAATGTTTAGTTTTAAAACACCAATATAAACTTGTACTATTAAATACTCTTATACATGTGCTTCCGTTTCATTCAACGATGATGATTTTCTTGATCGTATCTGATATTGTTTCTGTAAATCTTGTAGCATGTGCCTAACTAATATCTGAACAATCAAAGTCTATGTAGAATATACTTGGTTACTGTCAGCATAACTAATCAATTAGTCTGGAATTTCTAAGAGTTAATTACAACAGAGTGCATTGTTCTGTTTGATTGCATATACATATATATAAAAATGAACAAA